TATCGAATTACTAGGACCCCCCATGACGTGCTGTCGACCGAACATTTCGCACCCCCCCCACACACACACTAAATATGCAAATACCTGAGGTGATCTGTCAAAAATTAATTGATTCGCGCTTCCACTTTGTTCTTTCGCAATAGTAATAATATTATTATTATTAATAATAATAACAATAAAGTGCCATGACTAACCTGTTTTGCCCGACTCCGGTGGTATACATGGTTGCACTTGAGGATCTGGAATAAACGAGGGCACAAGTAAGGTGCGAAGAGAAAAAATTTCGGTTAGGTATCAGTGCTCATCAGATACATTTTCGTTGCGTGTGGTGCGTGTAAAATTGTGCGTATTTTTCCTATCCTAATTTTGGTGTCCTGCTTTGTTGTTCGAACTGATCAACCCATCGAACACAGGTTTCCCTTGCCGGGTTTGATTCACTGTTTCCGAGTAAAATCGCTAGAGCGTAGGTTTTCGCATTGCCAGCTCATCGGTCAATGTGAACTGTAGTGTGTGGGACACTTGTAACCAAATTGTGATCATCAATCATAATTCATCATCATCAATTCATGGTTTGTTCAGTCAACTTGGATCGGGAATTTTTTTCCAGCTCGTTGTGTCCCTCTCGGCACTATTTTTACACTCACATCTTTTACACAAGTCATTCAAAGTTCCAATTTCGCGAAGACCAATGTGTAAACACCCCTAATGAACGCTAACAAGAGTAAAACACACGAATTAAGATTTGCCCGAAAGGCTACGTTACCATCCGTCAACCCCCCCCCTCGCTGATTTGCTTATTCTTGGTTCAGACTGAAACCTGGCACTTTTTAATATTTTTAATATTTTTATGACAGTTTTCTTAAATTCTTTCATGTTTATTTTTATGAATTAAAAACGAGTATTTTTGCCTGATTTGTTTTAATTTGTGACCTTGAAACATATCGGATGGTTCCAACGTGTATTGTATGCTCTAACAATTTCAAGGTGAAGCGTGTGTTGGGTAATTGCAGGACCGGCATCTGCTGCCTAGAGTACGTACTTGTGCATGCGGCCACACGATGAACACACAGGAGTTTTCACGCAGCCACCATGGTTTCGTTTTTCGATGTGTTAACCATACTGAGGATTTCGTGAACCCCATTACCGGGGTCCACACGAATAATTTAGAATAATTCTTCTGGAGTCACATCAAAAGAAAATTGAAAAATGTAACGCGGTTAGTCGCGGATGTTATATGGGAAGATCTGGATGAAGTACCGTACGGAAGGTGGTTTAATTTTGTTGTACCGACATTCAATGATGATGGCATTGACCCTTATTTACGACACGCTGCACAAGTATATCCATGTTAAATGCCATTCACTACTATTATATCATTTTTTTTCCTTTTATTATTATTTTTTTTGCATGTGTGGAGTTGGGGGTAGTAGATTTTTATTTAATAAAATTGATTTTGAGGGGAGGGCGACGGATGGTAACGTGAGTCTGCACGAGAAAGCTAGTAAGCTTTATTAGCCCATTCGTTTGTTAAGAGGCACCAGGCATTCTTGATGCTCTTGGGCGTCGGTTTCACTCTTCGGAATATCGTTAATGCACCACAATTTCATGCATTTACGTGCGATAGAAATGCGTGTGATAACCAACAAAGAGAATTGGAAAGCTATTTAGTCCTGTTTGGGACTCGTCAGCAGTGCCTACTTTTTGTGTGTCCGTCAAGACTCGAACCGCAAACTTTCGGGTTGGGACCTCAAACTCCTAACCCTGGGCTACATGGTAGACGGAAAAAAACAATAAAGATTTGTTTATTTGCCCACTGATTAGTCTAGTTATGGTCCAGTGAACATAACACCTTGTCACAGAGATCAACACCCACTGCTCAGCTGTGATAATCAATAAACGAACGTCAGAAAAATAAGAACCCCTCGGGGGCATCGATATCGAGGCGGGCTTTCGAAACGTGCTATCGCTAGCCTCATACAGCCCCAATTACTTAACGGCAGATTCGATAGTTTTAGAACTTATTCAACGGGCTATATATGGTGAACCCCATTTGATGCCATTTGTACAAAATGACAGACGTTTAATTCAAGTATTGCGATGAATTTCAGGAGGTAAGTGGCGAGGTAGATATCAGAACCTACCTGTTGGAACAGGACTAGGTGGATAGTAGCCGTAGGGATCTGGAACAAATGAATTCAGTTGTCAGTAAGGACAGGTTAATTGATCAAGTTAAAAATTCATGCCACAGTTTATAATGAGATCCACACACAGTATTGTTACCTGGATCCATTTTTCTAGATGAATCCGCTAAATTTTTCATATCACAACAAACATACCTGCGTGGTGATAGTAATCTGCTGCATCCGGGGGATAATAATAGCCATGAGGGTCTGAACCAAAAAAAGGAACAACCCGAACTCGGAATTGGAGGACTTGTAAACGAATAGTTTCGAACAGCAATACCCAGTGTAATATCCACCAATCAGTTTTGCTCTGTTTCATTTTAAAGCTATTTCATCATCCTTGGATAATATTGTGAAAAAAAAGTTTTATGAATTCTCACGTTTTCAGATCATTGCAAAATCGTTTCGATGGTTTTGTTATCCGTTTCATTAAATTTATTATGCGGTGTGAAGTAATCAAAGAATATGTGAATACAAATTGCATGCATCACCTTGTGTTAGATTCAGTTGCATAGCTGTGTGTAGGTAAGTCAAGCGGATACAGGCCAACGATTTTGAGGGCGAGTCCCGTTTGTATCCCACATTAAATGTGGGCGGAAAAACAGTCAACACATCTGTGTGAACATACTTTACAAACTTAATATAGTATTCAACGTGTCAAACCCGAAAAACGTTCACAGTGTATCTAAAAAACGATGCGCCATATCATTTGTTTTATACAAATTGTAATTTTTGGGAAAACACAGCGATGTCGGTACAGGTGAAATAAGTCGACGTTGCATTTGTTTTATTCGAATGAGGTTTAATACCGTGATAAAGAAACAATAAGGTGCGTCGATTCTGTTTTGCACAGTGGACAGTATTGTCAAACGTCATACCGTACATTGATTCGAATAGTTTCAAGTCATAAAACCCATATCGTCGAACAACATAACTCGTTCCAG